GATTAATTCCCACCTTCCTTCCCTCAACCTAGCAATTGTTTTAGCTCTACATAATGTTGGAATGAGGGGTACCAGAAAACAAGGCAGATCGCAAAGAACTTCTACTAGAAAGGCCTTAATCAAATGTGCAAAATTACATTTGATGGATTTCATCAATCAAATAAGTCCTTCTAGTAATGGTGGATAAATTCTTTAGGTAAGGGCATTTTCTATTATTATCTCATCCTCACATGGTTACAATGTACCAAAACAAAACAGCCCTTTTAGTCGTGCTTGCTACAATATTTCACAGCAAGCAGACCCTGTGACCAAAACCAGACAATAACATATTTGTTTCTGTCAAGGTCAAACATTTCTCTTGTATATGTGTGCATATGCATATATACATACACACGCACAATGAGAATAGAACAGTTTGGCGTTGATAGTCATAAGCATCTCAGAAACTCAAGACTTGATGAATACATATAATATATGAGTATTCTCCCCGATAGAAGCATCCACCATTTTTCTTACTTTTGTTCTCAAAGGATGGAGTGTGAACTCAGTAATTTGATTTGCTGCTGGTAAAGAAATTTGCAGGAAACATACCAAAATCACATATAATAACACTTAGAGAAAATTAAGAAAAAAGAATAAAATAACATGAAACAGTCCAATCTCAGCGAAGTATGACAATTATTCCGCATTTTACTCAGATAGGAGATTTGCATTAAAAAAATTAAAAAAAAAAAGGAGTACTGTACCAAAATTTCCCCCGACTCATTGACATTATGATGCTCAAGGTTATTGGATTCACTTTTGCAGATGGAAGCAACCAGTGGTGAATACTCATCCAAGGTTATGCCAGTAGATTGCACCATTTCCATTAAGTATGGTCTAAGTTTACGAGCACAGTTAGAAAGAACTTTCTCCCCCAACTTCCACGACATAGGCAAAGTGATCTAGAATGACAAATGAAGAAAGAGAATTAAACCTTGAAACCAATTAAAGCCAGGATAAATAAAACATTTATCGAAAGGAAACTACCTTATTTTCCTTTCTTACACTCGCCAAAAGAGGATGAAGAAGATCAAAGGCAATATCTTCACTTTCATCTAGAACCAACGTCATTATTGTTTCCATGGCCAAAAATACAGTATGCGGATGATTGGACCTTATAGTTGCACAGAGAAAAGATTATTGTTATTCTTAAAGGTAAATACTTGGTGGTTTTTTTTTGGGGAAAAAAAAGAGAAAAAAGAAAACAA